TACATGCAAAAGAATGAATTCTGATATTCTAGCAGAGAAAAAAACATAAGAATAAGGAATAATAATAATAAAGTCTAGTCATTTTTGGGCCACATGAATTCAAAGGCTAACCATGACTATTCTGTCTGTCAGTAATATGAGCTCAGTGTTTTTCCACAAGATTGTTTGGTTTAAGGGTCACTGAAACAATGGCTCCTCAAAATTTGCTTGCATTTGTCAACTCATGCTTTGATTTTTATCGACCATTAAGACTGAGACTGAGCCTGATTTTCTTGGAATGTTTTTTGTTTTTCATTGCTTTTTCATCAGGCTTATCCAAAGTTCACTGTTTATACAGCCTTGTGTATTCTGTGATAAATAGCAATAGTGAATAATCCGTGGGCATTCTCTTCAAAATCGCCATTAATTAGCATTATAAAGCTCAGATCATAGTCCTTTTTGACATCTGTGCTTTTTCCTGAATCTGCCAGGTCACTCCATGTGGACACTCGTCCTCATATTCCCTCTCTGACCAGCAGCTATGTCCATGGCACCTCCTCCATCCCTCTACTCCCCCTGACTGTGAGCCAGTGCCTGGACTCCACAGTTGAGCGCTGGCCTGACCGTGAAGCTGTGGTCTTCCTGCAAGACGGCATCCGGAAAAACTTTGCGCAGTTTCAGCAAGATGTGCGTTTTCATGAGACTTCATGCGTGTATCAACCCCTATACCTCTTTATGTTGCACAACTGAGCCTCCTATTTCAATGATAAAGACTCAGAGACAGTTGGTCACTGCTAATTGTAACTTGTGTGTACCCTTTATTTCAGTGTTAACTTTAGGTAAATTAAATAGTTGTTTGACCTTTTGACGCCTCATGAAATCACATTTGGTAGTTCCAAGACCTCTTTAAAACCAGTAGTCTGGTTTGATCACCAAGTCTCTCTAAATCACAGAAATAATTTAAGTGTATGCAAAATTAGAAAGCTACATTGTAAAATGCCAGAATTTACTTAACTGGTAATGAAGAATTATCTAACATTTGTGTGACATTCATTGGTACAGGTTGACAAGGTGGCTGCAGGTCTGCTTGCTTTGGGAATGTCTCGGGGTGACCGACTGGGAGTTTGGGGACCCAACACATATGAGTGGATCCTTTTCCAGTTTGCTTCAGCTAAGGCTGGAATTATACTGGTCAGTTTGAGAGTTGTGTAAACCTTTACATTGCGGTTGGACTGACAGTCCTTTTTTGTCCTGTGCTAACAAACACCGTGCTGTCAACTGTCAGTGAGCAGGACTTTGAACCCTTTCAGGGGCCCTGGGAAGCTATTCAGTAATTGTACCATTACACTGTATGCTAACAGGTCATCAGGTATTAATTTCTATATACAGCACGATGTAATATGATATACAGCAATGTAGGACAGAGTATATATGTATGACTGATAAGAGGTTCTATAAATAGACTTGACCTTAAACTGTTCCTATCCTTGCAGGTGTCATTGAACCCAGCCTATCAGGCGAAGGAAGTGCACTTTACTCTAAAGCAGGTACAATGAGTTCTGTTACATGACATTTTCATTACCATAAACTCACTTACTGTGCTACTTAACCAAAGTAAAATACAAAAAGCATGACAACTGACAGCGGACATTTTAGTCTTTGCATTGTAAAAATAATCCTTAATATAATATATGATTTTTCACATGCAGGTCCAGTGTAAAGCTGTGGTCTGCCCTACCCGCTTTAAAACACAACATTTCTGTGACATGCTAAGGGAGATCTGCCCAGAGATCGACACATCACCAGTAGGCATGATCAAAAGCTCCAGGTTTGAAATAGCCAATGTCAGATTTAATACACGTTCTTCCTCTATTCTCATCATGGGAGTAAGAGACCGTAAATGCTTCACAACGGACACAATTTACAATGCATTGTTTGGTGGATGTAATATAAAGATCCGGTCTTCGGTCTGCCAGGTTGCCGGACTTGCGTATGGTGATTGTAACAGATAGCAGACAACCAGGGATGCTCCACGTAGAGGATGTGATACAAGCAGGGGAGAGTCGGCACCACAAAGAGCTCATGGATCTGCAGAACAAGCTGTCCTTCGATGATGCCATCAACATTCAGTTCACATCAGTAACCTTCAGTATTGCACCTTTCACATTGGCACACATGTATCAATTGGACTGTCATTATGATGTAACATAGATCTAAGAACGATTTACATCAAGTCCTGTTGCTGGTTTTATTTGTTTCAGGGGACTACAGGGAGTCCAAAGGGAGCCACTCTTTCCCACCACAATATTGTAAATAATGCCTACTTTGCGGGTCTCCGAGTGGGTTATGGATGGAGAGTAAGTTCACATTTGTCTCTTGATTTGACAAAAAAGGAAACAGTGTGAATCTAAATAATCTTATTTTCCATATTCCTATCAGCCTCAGGTGCGAATATGCGTACCCGTACCCATGTACCACTGCTTTGGCTCTGTGCTGGGAGGGATGAATATGGCGGTGCACGGTGTCACACTGGTCTTTCCTGCCACTGGCTACAACAGCCAAGCCAACCTAGAGGCCATTCAGAATGAAAAGTATGGCACACTGCTCATCACTCTTTCAAATACAACATTATGCACTTTCATTGATTTCTACTATTTTTTATTTTTTTTTTACTCAAGGTGCAACATCGTCTATGGCACACCCACGATGTTCACCGACATGCTTGGTCAACAAAATTTACACAAGTTTGATTTGTCGTCACTTGAAGCTGGTAAGGAATTATTTGAAGACTAAAATATGATATGGAATTTGATGCGATGCTTAGCAAGTATTTGAAGCATCCTCGTCTGCGTGGTGCTGTGTTTTAGGTCTCATGGGAGGTTCTCCGTGCCCTCCTGAGATTGTGAGAAAAATGATAACAGACATGAACATGAAAGAGACCACGGTGAGCGGTTGAATGTCCTATAGCTTTTCAAATAATTCTGTATCAAAAGAGTATAGCTTCTCCAACATGTGTACATTATGTTTTAACAGTTACTTTATGGAACCACTGAGAATAGCCCACTCACATTCTTGGGATTCCCAAAAGACAACGAGGAGCTGAAGCTAAATACTGTTGGATGTATCATGAACCACACTGAGGTATGCATGCTGTAGTTTTTCCACAAACCTTTATCTACATATAACTACAACAACACTCATGCCCGTGAGTCTTTACTATAGGCTAAAGTGGTGGACCCTAATACTGGGGAGATTGTCCCTCTGGGGACCCCAGGAGAGCTGTTGATCAGAGGCAGCTGTGTGATGCACGGATACTGGGACGATCCCGAGAAAACCAGTCAGGCTATCTGCGAAGCCCGCTGGTACCGAACTGGGTAAGACACTACAATCAAAAGAGTGTCGAGACTTTTTTGGACTCGGGTGGCACAAGTGGTACACTGACTTATGCAAGAGTGGCATTAAAAATGTGTCTCAGCTTTCCAGTCATTCACAATTTTTGCAGTTCAAATACTGTTATGGGGACCCCAGTATGCATTAATATTCAAATACACTGGGTGAAAATAACATTCATACCACATGAAAAACTGCAGGGGATAAACATTAAGTGGGCATGTCTGTTAAGGGGAGACTTGTGGGTACACATAGAACCCATTATCTATCTTTTAGCCTTAAAAAGGCCACCCAAGGCCCCCAATCTGGACACACAGCTAACTACAATGTTTGTCTAAAGGAGAAAATACAAAAGTGTGTTTGAAATATTGTATATATGGGAGGTTTTCTTCTACACAGTGACACGGCCAGTCTGAACAGTCTGGGATACTGCCGCATTGAAGGGCGCATGAAGGACATGATCATCCGAGGAGGGGAGAACATCTACCCAGCTGAGATAGAGCAATTTCTCTACACACATCCCAAAGTACAGGAGGTGCAGGTATGACTCAGAACCACTGGAGGGCAGCAAAGATCAGAAACATTGTGTCCAAACAATTAACAGCAAAGAGTCACATTGAGGCCATACTTTTTGCTTCAGTAACAGACGTTATTTTAAATGTAAACAAAATGTGTTTCATGAGAACATAAATCATGTAATACTAATGAGCCGAGGTGTTAAATCTACATTCTAGTTGTTCTGTTTCTCTGTTTGTTTCCCAGGTGGTTGGAGTGAAAGATGAGAGGCTGGGCGAGCAGGTGTGTGCCTGCATCAGACTGAAGGAAGGCCAGACCTCCAGCACAGAGGAGATAAGAGCATTCTGCAAAGGCCAGGTGAGAGCAGGCGATAAATTAAATTGCCAGAAGCTCAACATGCTCAAAATCAGAGCACAGCTGTACAGTTTGGGGACTGACATTTGTTTTTTCCTTCCACTAGATTTCTCACTTCAAGATCCCACACTATGTGTTCTTTGTAGACAGCTACCCTCTGACAGCCTCTGGAAAGGTACGATTCTTCTGCTCTTACACCGACATACCTGAAATATCAAGATGGCAACGATGATTTAGTGCTGATAAATATAATGAGACTGAAATGGCTGCCACTTTCTGTTTTTCTAGATAAAGAAGAACATATTACAAGAGAGAATGGAGAAGAAATTAGGTCTTTAAATGTGTCGACCCTGATGGACTGAGTGCACCTGCTGGGAAAGCAGAGCTGAACTTGGACAACATAACTAGATCGGCTACTGGATTTTCAATACTTCAAATTCATGTTTCATGTTTTACTTGAGATGCATCACACCGTCATTCCACTCCTCACTACTTTGCTATTATGTTTATATAAAAGTTTAGATCATCTCTTTGAGCTTGAAGTTTGATTATTGACTGTGAAAATAGTAATTTAATTAAAAATCTCAACACGAGGTCAATTTACTGGAAATATTACACTTTTTTTGTATTATTGTAATGACACGGGAGGACTACTGAACTCCACTTATGACACAAGATGTGACTGAAAGCTTTGGAAAATGGTGCCGTATCATCAAACATTATCATCTTTTATAACAGTATTTGAGCCAAACTACACAAAATATTTGTCATCTCAATCTTTATTTACTTAAACAATTTTGACAAACAATCTGATATCATAATACAATGGCTTTAACCATTCATTATCTGAACATGCCATACATAATCTGAAATAAATAGGACCTTAATGCCAAATGTCAGTATGTACAAATGTGGTAGGCAAAATTACCATCCTTACAAGCTATATACACCGACTGTAGAACACACTTTAGTAACAGGCTCATCTAGAATGGTGTTGAAAATAACATCTCATATTATCAAATAACAATGAATACTAACTTAAGATGGTGACACAAAGCTCTACAAAAGGGAGAAATATATGGGCAAAATGTATTTAAAACAAAATTCTGGGGTGTAAAATGAATGCATTGCCAATGTCCAACCTGCCAAAAATCCAAAAGTCAAGTCAAATTAACTTTAAGTTCACACAATAACAGATAAAATTAGGAAATGTGCTGCATGACACAAAGGCCACAATGAACCATGAAGTCACATACACCAGCCAAAGTCTCAAAAAAGATCCTTGAGTCACTTTTGTTTTGCTTTGAGCGTCCTTCTGTCTGAGTTTTAAATAGCCTCATCATATTACGAATCCACCATGAGAATGAGGTAAATAAGCCTGTCACAAGATAAAAGAAAAAAAAAAATCTATACGTTAAACATTTAAAAAAAAGGCAAAACTGTTCCCTCGAAATGTCAATGGATGTCCACAGAGAAAAAAAAACACTCGACTTCAGCAAAACCTGTGAGGAGGAGCAATTTAAGTTTAAGTGCAGGTTTAACCCAGAGGACAGAACCAGCTGATATTTCCAAGCTTTAACGTGGAGACTACTTCCAAATGGATTACAGCAAGTAGCCAGCGGCAAGAGGAACGACTGCACTATGGCTACATGGCTTTGAACGATCAACATTCACTTCAGTCATGAATATGGGGTCCCCACAACACCTCTCCAACCCCACATCACATATGCACACATGCAAGAAAATAGCAAATAAGAAACATTGCATTTTAAAGCATACTGTGAGATAAATTAGTTAGTATGAACATATCCCTTTTTAAATATAATACATTCTAAATTGAAAATAGTAATTGTGCAATTTAAGTGAAAACACAGGAGGAAAAGGAAGAAGCTGTGGTCTGTTAAGGACCTTTTGTCAGGGATAGTAGATTTGTAAGATGAACAGAAACTAAGAATATAACGGTGCCACTTCAGAGTTGACATCTAGAGAGCAACGCATTTGCAGCGACATTCATACGAGCACAGTACAGTAGAGCTTTAGGCACATGCCAGTGTGTGGTAGGAACGTATGCACACGACTGTGCACCTACTCACAGATGCATTTAGAGCTCCGAACAATGTATAGTAAAGCCTCCTCTTCCACACGTCACGTTCAAAAATGCACAATCCCGAACACACGCATCACTCTTCCTTTCAAACACTCTCTCTTTCTCAAACACACACACACACACACACACACACACACACACACACACATACACACTTAGCACACAATGTAATGGTCTTTCAAGTGTCCTCTCTGTTTTTTTGTTGGGTGGATAGGAGATTCAGTGGAGGTTTATGTGGTATGGGGACGCCTCACACACTCAGAGGCAGCATGCCTGGTGGAGACACGGCTCTGGATGTTGCAATGGCGGTCAAGGAGCTGGGGTCCAATCCATTAACAGTCCTGCAGTTGTCACATCGACATGCACAGCATTAGCGAACACAGAACAAATTAAATGAACAGTAAGACAACAAGCGAGGGGAGGAACTTGCTTAATAACTCACGTTTTGTCGAAGTAAGTGGTATGAAGGGAGTGAGAGAACTTGGTAGCGTTGCTGTTGATGAGTGTGCCGTTGTCTTTGGAGTAATTTTTTCTTGCTGCCTGGTCTTTGGCAAAGTTCCTACAGGCGGCGAGTTTTGACTCCAGAGCCTAGACACAAAACAAGGAAATACAAGCCTTTAGCCTCATCATAAAAAAATAACTTTCTGTTTGTCCTGTGGCTGAGGACACATTGTTCCTCAGTGTTCTGCCACCTATTCAGAATTTAAAAGCACCCTTTTTTTACTTTGTCAGCCCTATAATGCGTAGAGAACAGACTTTCCATGCCAAAAAAAGTAATGTAAATATGTATTAAATACAAAGGGAACAATACCTACCCCAACTTTCCTCAGGAGATCACCGACAATATTAAGAGCTGAGATTCTAGCAGAGGGAGTGAGGGACGAGTTGCCATTGGTCAATCCTGCACGGGGACACAAGCCAATATTAGAACACAAATCAGAGAATTTTCCATTTTGCATGTGCAATAAAGAGTGAGATTAATTAATCGTCACCTTTTGGGCTGATGAAGGGGTGCTCTATGCTCTTTCCAACAGGTGTGGCTGGGAGGGATAAAGACGCCTGCACTGCAGAATCCATTTTGTCGATATCTAAGGTGGGTGAGCTGGGTGCTGACATCCTGTCTGTAGTCCGCTCCCGTACTGCCAGCTCTTGTCTCAGGTCTGCAGAAGAGATTCAGATTCATGAAATACTCCTCAGCTAACCCTTACACGGGTGACATATTAGCAGCAAAAGAGCAGAAAGGATTCTTCGGTGTTTGGTCTTTTTACCTCGTGCTTCATCTTTCAGCCGCTGCACGGATACTAGAAGAGACTCCTTCTCATCCAGCTCACTTTCCAGGAAGGCATTTCTCTCTATGGCCTGGTTTAAACGGCCTTCAAAATCCTCAAGAGACACTATCGTCGCCCTGCAAATAGAGGTTGAGGGGCACAGCTGTTAAAACCTTTTATGAACATTACAGTAGGTCCAATTATAACAAAATCTAAATACTGTAAGCATTCATCATCTCCTCAGCACCCCCTAAAACAATCAAACATATCCCCCAAACAGTGATTGTCCAATCATTGCTTAACAACCGTAACTAGGCACCATTTTCATTGGTGGAACGGAAAGCTTGACTAGGCATAAAAACAGTAACTAAGGACGGTGGAGCTTAGTGAACCATCAATCGCTGGAGTCATATTATAAACATAGATTCACAACCACTTTTTACATGCCTATGCTCTGTGGACCATGAATTTATGTCAACTCTCATTTTAGTTTATGTTACAGACATACAGGGGATATTAAAAACTACTATTAAAAAATCCTTTTGCGGTATCTTGTTTACTTATCTCCAAATTGTGATAACCTACCAACAAGTAAATGAGCAAGTACAGTTTTCAGATAAAAGAATGTTATAATATGTATGTGTAATAATGAGACATACATTGACCAAAATGTACTGTGTCAGTCTGACCTTTTGGCTCTCTCCAGGTCATCGTTGGCCTGCTCGAGCTCTCGGACGTATTTGTGGAGCTGCTCCTTGATGCTGCGTGTCTGGCCCAGGTCATCCTCTAGCATAGAAATCTGTTTATAACTCTGGGCGTACTGATGCTCTAGCTTCTCCTGATAGAGATGGATAGAGTAAAGAAGAGAAAGGAGTTCAGGAGTGATTTTGTGTAGAGAATAAAGAACGTCAATCATTATTCGAATCAAAAAAAAAAAAAAAGAATTCCTTCTTTCATGTATTTCTTCTAAAGCGTGAAAGTGCAATTTTATATTCTATATACTAGTCATTAACAACAGCACCCCTACTACAACACGATGAATCATGAGACAGTTAATAGGTGTTCTTCCACATAATTTCACTTTCAGAGAGCTTCTTTGTTCCCTGGGGAGGCCCCATGGCTCATTTGCCCTGGGGTGCTTTACAGTACAGCTAATGGCACGGCCGCATGCCTGTATTGTGGCCCCTTATGGACAAAGACAGGAAAGCATGATTCATGATCTCTCTGGTTCACTGACTCGGTTCGTTTTTTAGCATTAGCTGCTGCTCACATGTTGAGCCATGTGAAAAATCACAATACTTTTCTGCTCTCTAGTGGCTATTGTAGTTTTCTGAATATATACCCTGTGATTTGTTCAACTACGGACATGATCACCAAGACTTCCATTCATGCCTGCAGTGATTAAGAACCTGACTTGTCCTTGCAGTTTTCTATTTTCTTCCTCTTTATCCTGACATCCACTTAAGTAGAGCTGGAGGATTACCTAAAAGCATGCCCTATTAAGACCTCACATACAAATAAGACACTGGACCTTGTCCTTGGGATCCAACAGGGATCGCAAAACCTCTTAAGTAACAGCAAATTAGTTTATAGGTGTCCTAACATAGACCATAAAAGCAAGCCGAATCCCAAAATAAGCTACACGGGCAAGTTGCCAGGCCCAGTTACCTTGAGGTTGGCCATCTCGTTCTTCAGTCTCTCGTTTTCACTTTGGAGGTCTCGAAGCCGGTGTTCGGCCTGGCCAAGCTGGGCCTCCAACTCAGCTTCCAGCTCCCGGCTCCCTTCCTGGAACTCCTGCAACTCCTCCTGGGCATCATGGCAACTAGATGGTAATCACACACACACACACACACACACACACACACACACACACACACACACACACACACACACACACACACACACACACACACACACACACACACACACACACACACACAGCCAGTGAGGAAAAACATAAACAATCATTGTCAATAACCAGATACCCTGGTCACTGTCCACCATTCAATTCTGCAGAGCTGACTGGCTGACTGAGCCCGGGCTCGAGCTCTAGAAAACTGTCTGGCTTTTGTGTGGCAAGATGAGCCCGGATCAGGCATGTTCTAGTAGCGTTATCTCCAATGGCCGGAGAAATAAACCTGCATGAAAAGCCAAGTCAGATATTTGTAGATTTTTAACCTTCACTCCTGCCTCTGCCAAATAGGAAACAGCTCAGCATTGTCGAGTTAAGCACTCTAAATATACAGCTCTAAAGAGACAGCTGAACTGTGACAGTAGGTGGTTCAGAAGTAGCTCAGAAAAACAGGCCTGCTGTCGTACGTCCTCAGCTGTGGGAGAGGTTAAAGGTCAGAGGTGCAGAGAAAATGAGAGGGCACCGAAACAGGATGAGGACATGGGCTTAGAAACAGGATGGTGTACACAGTGGTCCTGGGTTGACCCCATGTAGAGGATCTAAAAACACAAACAATAACTCATAATGTAGTAAACAAGGTGGAATGGGAAGGTAAAATATATTTGGTTGTTGTTTAAATAGACCCACATTTTTTCGCCTGTCCCACTGTTCTGAGATCAGGTGACTCGTGCTGGGATAATGGCCTCACAGTGGCTCCACAGAGCACTGGAATCCATGAATCAGTTGTTGTGCCAGGGTCGTTCCACACATACCAACACCACAGTGGCTGCTTCATCAGCAGGCTATAACTTCCCTGTTTAACAGGCAGGCTTGCCCCCTCACACTTTTCATAGTTTAGAATGACCGACAGTGCCGTGTATGTGCAACACAGGGCAGCATAAACTGTATGATGTCCAAATAACCAAATGGAAAAAGTCAAGTTTAAAAATATCGCTTCGGAGAGATAACCTTTCAATAGGTAACTAATAAACACTGCATGCTGCCACTGTGAGAGGTTTACTGGGAAAGTGATCCCTAGAAATGCACAAAAACAGACGAGCCACAGTGAATTGTATACTTGGTGTTATTTTTTCCATGGGTTGAAGTTTTTCCCTTATGTACCCACAGCAGGAATTTCTTAGAAAACCACGAGGAGTTTAACCCTCACTGCGCAGTTTTAGGCTTCCTCTGAGAGCATGATGGGCCCCAACTCCGCAAATATAAAAGACAACAATTTATATTTACACGCTCACAAAAAAAAAAAAACCACTGCTGTCTGTCCCAACACACGCTGTGGTCACTGTTTAAGTCGAAGATGTAGTCACTTCCTCCTGAGCAAACCACAGCTGTTTGTGGGCAATGATTTCAAAAAGCTTGTCTGGCCAAATGCCTTATATGGCTAAACACAGGACTTGTGTGCCGATACTTTAAAGCTCGCATTCAGCAAATTAGCATCTTCCTATTACGAAAGAGTGAGCTGCCGTTCAGAGTTTTGAGTGTTTATTTCACATGGGGAATTGCTGCCATCTGATATTTGGTATCAGTAAAATAGAAATAAAAAAGTAAAATATGAAACACTGTTACAAAACCGAATTTGCAAGAATGAGCTTATAGGCAAACAATAATACTGTACAAAAAGCTGAGGACACAACAGAACATCTATCCTGTAGTCGTATGTACACAGTGGGTTGTGCCTGATCATCACAAGATGTTCAATACAGCTAAAGAGGTTATATACAGGTCACTGTGAACTTGTCATACCAGAAATAAATCACATTGCCTACCTTTTCTTATATTTGAGGGCTTGGGACTTCCAGTAATCAACTTCCTCATCCTTTGACGAAAATTTGGGAATCATCTCTTTGTCCATGTCAGGGCAACCTGAGGATAAAAAGAGACACATTTATTAGCCCCACAGTCAACCAGGTGACTCAAGCATGGTGCAGCACTTTCGCTATTTGCATCCTCAGGCGTGTAGAATCAGATGCAGTGAATTCCCCCTTCTTATCTCAGAGCCAAAACAACTCAAGATTAAACATTTCCCTCATTCCTCAGTGGAGAAGATAACAGCAGATCTCTCTGTATTGGAAAGCCACACACAGAGTCAGATCGGCCTGGTCATATCACCCAGCCGTTCTGAGGTCATGTCCTCCTTAGTTACTCATGAATCACTGACTACAGCGCCCAGTCTTTTAGAAGCTGGGTTTTGATAAACTGACTGAGTACCAACATGGCCAACAAGCCTTTATGTGACCGGGAATAGCCTGCAAAAGTGTGCCTCTTCCTCATTACATTTCTAACCTGTCAGCTCAACTCACGTGATGTCAGCGTAACTGATTCATTAACAGCAAATCCACGATAATTAAGTGTAGCTAATGCCAAATAGATCAAAGCTGTCTGTTGTACTTCAGTTCAGAAGTCTTGACCAAGTGTTGAATGAATTTCTAGCTTCCGCCCTGTTTGCAGAAATAACACTTTACTCGATGGTTGTTCCTCTTTTCTGGTGAGCTCATAAACTCTGCCTCACTCTGTGATCTATGTGGACTAACAAGGCAGGTTTCAGGAAATTATTAAACACATCTGGAAATAGCTGCTGTGTCTGTGTGTGTTCTGTGTGGGGGTGAAATACAGCTGCTGCCACCACAACTCCCATTACTGTAGCTCCAGGAATATTCATAATGCAAACAGAGATTATATCAGACAACCGGTGGATGTAGTACAGGAAACAACACCCTGAACTGGACTGAAGGTCAAGAAACAACAGTTTAAGGCTTGAAGGTTTGATTATTGTTTAAACTGCCTGTGCAATAAGTGGTTATGTAAATAAGAACATCTTGTGGTATATCTTATTGTAGCCATTATTATTATTACATTTTGACCATTATTGCCTGGCTTGGGTTTAGACAAGGAGTGGGATGTGTTGTTTTCTTTGCCAAGAAGACGGTGGTCTAGACTCAGAGGCCAGACCGCCTGCTCTTCCCTTTAAACATTCCTCTGAGATGGCGTCATCAACATTTTACTCGCTACAGGCCCCTCACGTGTCAGTACACTACATTGGAAATCACGAAGGAAACTGGAGACCAAAATACCGTAAGGGTGGAGAAAGGGAAATGTTCCAAGGCTGCCACTGACATAACATGTTAGTTGTATGACGTGACCTGGGAGGCTCCTACAAATCTGCCCGGGGAACAACCCAAAATATTTCTTCTGATTGTATTCCCAGGTAATCTAACAAACTTATCAGATCTCCATTAGTTACAATACTTTATGCCCAGTGCTTCCTATTGATCCCCGGGCCTCACCAAAGGCATGAGCGACAGGAAACTGTTACCATGGTGATCAAAGATCAAAGGCCTAATTGGGATAATCACCCCCTGAAAAAAAGGCAAGGCTATTTATCAACCCACTAATGAATGACTGGAAACTTAAATCAAACAGGGCAATAGAGAGATCCCCCTACGTGTATCACGTAACAGATCAAGTACTGAGACTCTGCCAGAACAAATGACAGTTCCTGTTATCTCTCATTTCAGCATCCTTTGGAGCGGTGTCAGCTTGACCCTGTGGATCTATTTGTCTGTTGTAACAATACCTGGACAGGCAGCAGGGCCCACAGCCTGCGAGGGTGGTGGTGGTGACATCTGGAAACTACAGACAGGGGAAGGTAGTGAAGAGAGTTTCCTTTCCCACATTCTTGTCTCTACATCCTCTTTTGTTGGAGATGACGAGGCGCTTACTAAGAGTTGGGAGTGCGGACACTGATGTAGTCATGTTTTTATAGTTAGGCCCACGAGAGGACTGTTACACAAAAACCTCTTTGTAGGATAAAGGTTTGCTCTAATGTGAATAATAATCAGACCTACAGCTTTACAGGGTGTGGTGGTAGTGTTGCCCTCACCTGGGCCCATATGTTGGCCCCTTGTGTTGCTGCATGAAAATCCCAGAGGTTCAAAATAACCACTGTTTGTCAAAGTGGTCATGAAAACCAACAAAATAAGGTGTTGCTTTAAAAAATGACAATTGACATGCATCACAAATAGCTGTCATTCCCTGCAAACGTGCATATTTTACAAACAAAACACATATTGGAGCACTAAAAATAAACAGACAGACATTTATGAGGCCAGATTTAGTGTGTGTGTGTGTGTGTGTGTGTGTGTGTGTGTGTGTGTGTGTGTGTGTTATGTGTGGTCTGATACTGCGTGGTTTGACAGACACCTCAGAAGCTCAGGTTCATGCCAAACAGCAACGCTTTATGTTGCCAAACGAAAAAGGAAAATACCACACAAAAACCGAAATGCCATTTGAAGCAAATCAAAGGAAAAAAACCCTCTCGACATTTAAACCCGAGCTCGAGCTGTCATCACACAGACGCCGCGGCTGAACACGACAGCTCGACACACAACCGGGTAAAACACATCAAAACGGGATAAATTCACGGTTAAACTCGGTACCTGCTCATGTCAAATCGGTGTCCAACAGTCCTCTGTTTCAGCAGCTCGTCTTCCAGCCGGTGTTACATCCAACACACACACACACACACCTCTCCCCTGCCCTGGCCTCGGATGATACTGAAGTGACTGAGCTGTGTTTAGGAAATTGCCAACGCGTCTCCCGGAACCGACGTAAATCGTGACAGGGACGTACGTGCTGACGTAGTTTACGTTTACGTCAGAACTGGGCAGGGCTGCTGTAGAAATAGATGAACTAGAATAAGCCGCACCTCCCTTGTTTTTTTTGTTTTTTTGGGATGTAGACTTGTAGCCGCGCAGTGGTCACTGCAGTGAACCACGAGGTGGCATATTATTGCCAGAGAATAAACCATCACACAGGGAGAGGAAACACCAAGAGCAAATAGCATAATATTACTTAATAGTAGGTAATTGTTATATTGACCTATATTAGATTAATTTATTTCTCCTCGTTTATTTCCTTTTTTCTTTCTTTTTTTAAAAACCATTGTAAGCTGTGACTTAATTGCTATTGTTCTACACCACGGCCCTTTTTGTCTCACAGTTCAATTATTACTATTATTGTATGGGTCTACATCATTAATTTGATTAATTGAAATTCTATTAAAAACTGTTACTTTGGGGTATCTTTAAAAAAATGCACATAAAAAGCAAAGGAAATAAGTTCAACCAACTTTATTAAGACAGTATACAAATTTCATCAAACTTGATTAAACTGAGTAAAATGTCAGCGAATTGCTGTGAAAATTACTTTGCATCAACTGTAAGGAGTAAATGTAAACATTGTTTAAACTTAATATTGTCAACCAAATCAAAGATAAACAATCATCATCACCCTGCAATGTGTTTTATATCATTTAAAAAAAAAAACCTAACCTCCTTGAAATGTCAGTAGGCTATAGCCATTTAGTTTGAAAATACATAAAACCTTAAAAACCTTCAAAGCTCTAACACATCTTAAGGAACATACTTAACTGGGCTTTAGCTTTACACAGCACTTACACATGTAGTCCCACTGAGGTCCCAAAAAAGACAATAATCACAGTTTCCAAAATGGAAGGTGTCAAGCTGAGGAGAATTTCGGATGCACTGGCAACATGGTCAAGACCAGTCAACACCGAGATTTCCTCTATGGTGATGCTCATTCAGAGTTTCCCATGCTCTGCTACGCTGACCCACTGCTCCTCCTTGGAGTTTGGTCCACACAGTGTAACATACACTCAGGGCAGGACAGCATCTCCCAAAGTCTGTGAAAGATTTGTGGGTTACTTGCATACAGACCCCATCCTATATGATGAATAAGAGCATTCCTATTGTGTTAAAACGTTTGTTGACACCATTGAAAGTTAAAACAATATTCTCACTACTTGTGCAAAAATAATAGGCCAAAATAAAAAATAAAATAATTTACAAAAGCACTTAACTCTGGATCTTTTCCAAAAATTGAAATTTTCACAGTTTTCCAAAAATGCTCCTTTTATTTGGGTGTGGAAAATATGACATTTCACAAGAGCTTATTTACCCAATTCCCATACTCAATAATAAAGGGACAATTGCTTTATTTGCACATCTAAATACTTTGTATAAAAACACGAGTTAAAGGGCTTAGTCATCATTACATTACCTACAGCTTTAACAAATATCACCAGCTCGTCAGTTGGTATAGTGTTGCTAATATTCATAGAATATCAGTGAGCATTGTTACGGAGTCACTGTCAGTGAACCAGCTTGGCCACTTGATGATGCCTTCAGGGGACCCAATCAGTCAAGTCACAGCAGCCACAGGTGGCAGGCCCTGTTTTACAAGGCGCAGCTCTCGCCTCCACCCACAGCCAAAAGTAAAGAAAGTCATGCGCTGAGAGGAATCCACACTACATTTACCAAGGAATCTACTTTCAGCCTAAATATCCTCCCCACTCTCTTGCTGCTGTGGAATATTGCCTTCCATGGCATTTCACAAGGAAGAGAGCCAGGAGGACTCACAGGAGTGTCCAGTGTGCTATGAGTGTCTGTCGGGCACAGAGAGGACCCTGAGCTGCGGGCATGTGTTCTGCCACGACTGTCTGGTCAAAACGCTGGTCAGCATCAACAGCGATGGGAACATCAGAGACACTATTGTTTGCCCCATCTGCCGACATCTTACATTTATCAAGAAACAAAAGGAAGCGCTGGTGTCCCTCGCAGCGGACAAGAATCCAGATGAAGGGCAGACACTAGAGGTGCCCCTTCCTCTGCCACCGGGACAGCTCCAGAGCGCCGGACGCCCCTCCAGGGACACTTTACCGAGGGGAGTTAATTGGATTGCTCACTGCTTTAGGGGAATCTCTGAACGAGTCCGTCGACAGAGGTTGATCAGCCCCGGCCACAATGCGTCTCAGATCTTTATCATAAGCGCTCAAGGGCGACCCATGGCTGAAGAAGACGCGCTCAGCGTTGTGATGACTGTGGTTCAACCCCAGCGCAGGCGAAGGCGCAGGATTTGCACAACTGCACGATGCCTGATCGTTTTGCTGTCAGCATTTACTATACTCGCACTGGTGGCTGCAACTTTACCATGGATTTTGTTGGCATAGCCCCGTGATATGGATGTGTGGATTATGAAGTGCCAATGAGGAATGATGAACTGACATTTATAGAAAACATCTGGTCCAGTATTATTATATTATATTTACCAGTTATGCAATGGTGTGTGTGAGGCAGTTTTTCTTTTTCTGATCAAAGTGTGCATTTTAGTGAATCATCAACCCACTGAAAATGTACAATTTAGTCAATTTATTAATGTGTAGGCCTACTTAATGGTTTTAAAATGTGATTAGGTATTTTCCTGATATTAAGGAAAATTTAGGAATTTTATTGGCATGTCCATGTCCTTTATGTGCATTACCAAGCAACAGTCTAAAGTTAAGTAAAGGTTGAGAAAGCCTTGACAGCAAAGTCCTTTGTGTTGCATTCCTATCTGTGACATGTTCTACCTGTTTATGAGAAGCAAACATGCAGGAAAAGCTTCAACTAAGCACATTCAAAAGTTTGTAAATTCAAGAGAGGACATTTTGAGATTATAATTAATAATAATCAACAATTAGAAAAATATTTGTTAAGGAAAAAAAGCATTTAAATAAAAACCATTTATCTGACTTAATCCCATTGTTGTTAAAGCAGCTCAGTTCATTGTTGAGTTACCCTGTTGTTGGATACACTGTTTCCAAGCAACTTTAGGACTGAAAACTGTAGCAGAGCTACAACATCTATCCCAACTTCAGGATTATTTTAGTCAGGTTACATTTTGGCAGCCAGACATGAGCTTTGTAAAGTGAAGAAGGCAAGTGTCATAATAAAGACCATGTTAAAATATGCATCATGTTGACCTTCTCTCCTCCTTACATCACAAGGAAAGGTCAGACATTTAAAAAGGTTCTCATGCAATTTCCATGTTAAACTTTTCACACATGCTGATCAAGTGGATTTTTTTTTAATATGCACAGAGTTGGAGGGAGTTAGCGGTTGTATTAGACCCTCAGTAACATCCTTTACAACATGTGACTGGCTCATTAGCCAGTAGTGTGTACAAAGACGGTGTAAACAGAGCCACCTTTAAAGTTTTAAGTAAGAAATAATTGATGCGCCCATGGCAGTCGGAAGGAGATAGACTATCAGGAAGGGATGAGCTGTGCCTGCCTGGGTGCTGTAAGGAGATACACTGCTGGACTGCAGCATTATATTACCACCGACTCTTTAAGAATCAAGATTGAGAAAGTGCAGATAGACCAGCACAATGTAACCATGGGGTGGTGATTCAAAACAAATGGAAAACTAGTTCATGAGCTTTGTCAGTATCACCACCATCCTGACAAACGTGTACACTCCTAGTTTCCTCCTGCGGTAAGCCTTCAGCCATCCTGCTGGGCCAGTCCTACAGGTTGCACACATGGGGAGGCTTCTGCGTACCTGGTTCCTCAGAGTGTGGGAGGACGATGTTGATGATTTATTTTATCTGATAAATCGTACTTTTTAGATCACATGTCTTTTGGTGGTTTGCTCGTCAACCTTGTAAATTTGTAAATGCACAAAAATCACCAGTTTTAAAGCAAAGAGATAAAAGCTCTACGATGAGTGTGAAAATTGCTCAAAGAACCAGCTGTCAAACTTCTGTACACATTCCTATGGCAGGATTAAGCTCCAGGTAGTACTGGAAGAAGTACTTAGATCCTTTTGTAAAAGTACCTATAATGAAAACAAATTAAATTCCCCCAAATGTGCTTTCAGTTTATAGGATTTTTCTCTAATGCTTGTTTTTGTGAACTATTGGATTACCTCCTTTGGGTCTTGAACAGTCATGTGGGAAGTTTAGAGGGGAACTGTCCTTTTGGTGGAACTGCTAACTTATAGACATCTGAAACATGACAAGGAAGCTATACTAGTCTTTTTTAGAAGCAAAGCACAACATTTCACAAAATGTTGTATTTCATGTGCCCATTGTGTTTTTTAATGTAAAATCTTAATCTCCTCTAAAATGTAATGGAGTATAAGTATAAAGCAGTGGATAATGGAAATACTCAAGTAAGGTACCTCATAATTGTCCTTCATTACTCCAGTAAATAACGTAGTCTCTGCGACTGCTTCCAGGACATTTCATAGGCAGAGTGAAGTCGTAAGTAACAGTTCTGTTGTCAGGGATCATCAAATATTCATATTAAAATGAATACTTTTCCAGAAAAAGAAATGAAATAAAACCCACATGAACCAGGTGAGATTATTAAAAATGTAGAGTTTAATATATATATATTTATTTCTGACATTCTGATAAGGATTGCAGGTAGGCTTCACAGTACACACTGTGTTCCACTTGATATGCTAAGCAGAGGAGGAAGGGGTGGGAATGGTGGGCTTGACAAGCGGCAGGTTTTGTTTGTACAATAGTAGTGAAAGCAGAAGGAGGCAGTACATCCACAGGCAACATCTACTCCTCTACCGTATTGCTCAAAAACCCACAAAGGACCATCTATTGTGATCCACATTCTCTACAGTCCCTCTTTACATTTTACCCCTCTTACAATCCCTAAAAAGACAAGTGATTGACACAAAACGTGGATTATCAAAAGACTATCTAAGCGCATGCATGACACTTCAGATTTTCCTTTTTTCTCATTTAAAATCCCCCCCACAAAATGTAAACAAATTGAGCTTTACTTTAGACCAACATACTTGGTGGTGAGGTGAATTAGGAAATGTAGGTCTACAGTAGTTAAAATGCCTGATAAAACTATGTAACAGTGTACTATTTGGTGCAAAAGGTGGCTCTTATGAATATGCTCTTGAAAATGGCTATAAGGTTAATTTATGAACTGAAATTAGACATGTGATGAAATTATGACTTGTGTTTTGGGGGAGGGCACAGATGTTTGTTTCTTCGTTTCAGCAGCATAGTAATCACACCTATAATGAATATGAATGCATGCTTTTAGGTGGCTGTAAGTTCCAGTTATGACGCACAAAAGCATTGCAGTAATACTGCCCTGTACTGATAATAATACATGCCAACAGGCCCTAATTAACCTTCATCCAAACACAAGCTCTCATTTGCCTGTAAGTTATTACAAAATCAGGTAGCCTACTGTTTGAAATCTTAGTGAGTCACATTCAGTCTGCACACAGAGAGAGAGAAACCCCTGCCTCCTTGTATAAATGTATGGATCCAGCACAGAAAATAAAACCTCTAGTACACATTAATTATGCCTATAGTTCCAAAATAACAACCAGTGTGAGGGCACTTGCAATTGTTGTCATACATTATAATCACCACAACTATCAATATAATTATCAACATCACCAAAATCTTCATAAACATAGTCCATTGAGAGCACACACTGAGGCATACCATAAATCACTTTTGGAGAGAGGTTAATCTAGAATTCATTTTATCAGAAGTAAACACACAGATAAAACAAACTTAAAAGAAAATATGAATTGCTTTGCAATAAAATTAATGGCTTTTTTTCTGTAGGTTTGGGAAGGGTGACTTTGACCACTTTTTGGACTGAGGTGGATCAGTAAACACTGTAATTGCACTTTAATTGACATAATTATTGTCCAAAGACAATTTGTATGGAATTAAAAAAAGTGACACTGCAGCATCTGTTATCAGATGAATTTGAAATACCTAGAATTGTCAGTGGTGAAAATAACAATGAAGGTTTTCAACTTTAGAGGTGAAACAGCAGGTGTGTTAAGTTTTTACTAATTGAATGAGCACATATGTTTACTCCAACAGTATAGGCTTAGGATTACATATATCCTCATTATGTAATAATTCAATTGTCCAAGGGTTCTTAACATAATCTAATTATTTACACAAATATCTATTAAATAACTGATTAAAACGAAGAAGAAAAGATAGGGCATTAGTGTGCAACTCATTAGTGCTCTAGCATGTTTGAAGTCAAAGCTCAGGAGACAGAATTAGAAAGACCACAACTGATTTCTAGCAGAAATAACATCCTGCATTTCTGCTGCAGCATCGTTGTAACCTGGTGTTAAAGTGAAACATTACGAATCTACAGTAAACCTGTTCACTGTGTGCAGGGACAAAAATAACATCAAATTTTTAATCATTACATTTTCTACACATGATAAATATCAGCACATATATTATTATTATATATATATTCAAGATATGCATTTTACATATACTTTTCCTCTCATTTATATACATAAATTTATGTACAGTCTTTGTATTTACACTAGGGGTCAAAGGTCACTGAACCTGAAGCACTTGAAACAAGGTTAAGGGAGAGAATCATACGAACCTAAAGGCAGTGTAGTCATCCATCCGTTATCATCAAACTGTAACAGCACATGGGTGGTCTAAATTTACTCTCCAAGGACAACAACAACAGAAACACTTGCAGGAAATAAAACACTGCCATTCTGAGGCCCTTGATCCAAAGCAGTTCATATTGGCTCGTCATGCAAACACGTCGTTGGGCTTTCTTCAAAACTGAATAGGAGATGCAAGTTCAAAAAATTTAATTTACAGGAACATTCTTCTCATACTGTGCTGGTATAAAGTGAGTTAAAGTGAGTTTACCTGTGTGAAGGTAGACGTCAGATAAAGACCTACAGTTGTAATATGTGATAGAGGAGGGGAAGTAAAGACTGGGAGTGACAATAAGAATTAAACTGCATTAAATGTTTCATCCTGCACGTCAAACCTCACTCTAGGGCTCAGCATTTTCCTAATGTGCACAAAGCTTGAATACCCTGTAAGCAATACAAGACTACTCTCACACTCTGTCTCTCTGATTCACCCTGAGGATGGGCTTTGCTCCTAACCATGTCAGGCTCTGAGTTTCCCTAAACAAAAGTTGTCAAAGTTATCATATTGCAATTTGATTGCATGTTCTAATAAGGCAAAAGAAATGTAAATAAATTGAAAAACTCACAGAATCATACAATACAGATCACTGCATCAAACAACAAAGATGAACAAAGCAAAGCAAAAAAAAAAAGGGAGAAAACAATTAAAAAACCTTTTAATGTAATACTCATCTATATTCCAGTCTTTCCTCCTAAAGGCAACTGTTCCTCCGCTATGGCATTTTGGTGTTTTTTTGTTTTTGTAGTCACATAAATGTACTAGCGAGCAATTGTAAGAGATGAGTTTCTTTGCAGCCTGTAGCAGATGTGTTCGAGTTCTGGTTTCAGGTGGGCATTGGTGAGGCCAATGTGTGTTTCCATCAGGCCTTGGTGGCGACAGTTAAAGAGTATGTACAGCCATAGGGGTGCTGGTAAGCTGTGATGCCTTAGGGTCATAGGTCATAGAGTGGTGCTCTGGGGTTCCTCCTCAGGCACAGCGTCCCCCTCTGGAGAGTCTGTCACTGCCACGGACCTCCTGCAAGGGGCACCGCTGAACTCATCGATGAGGCTGTCCAGATTGACATTGATGGAGGGGATTTCATAATTGAAGATATCTAATGGTGAGCATGGCGGGAAAGGTGAGTGTGATGAGCAGAATGGGGGAAATGGTGATGATGAGCAAGAGGAGGAGGAGAAGAGGGCATATGATGATGATAATGAGGTGTAAAAACGGAAGAGAGCAGAAATAATATTAATCTTCTTGAGTCTGAACTCATGGTAAGTGGCATATGATGTCTGCCCTGATTGAAATAATCAGTAGATTACATGTGCTTCACATTCTACACAGGGATGTTCAGTGTGTTGCTAATCACACCTGAACAAACGTGGTAGCGACTAGTGTGGTTTGTCACAGCTTTTTGTGTCTTTAGAGACAACAACAACAACAACAGACATTTTGTCAGATAAAATACAATAACAGGTCAAAATGACTGCACAATGA